TTCAGCAGGTGCATCAGTCCTGACATCAGTGGAGGTTAGGCAGGTACGAACAAAGACACCTTCTTCAATTCAGACCGAGTCAGCAGTCCTGGGAAATAAATTGCAAACTTGCACCTATTTGCTTGGGAATCAACGGAGAGGAGAGCAAAACATCATGGCACAGCAGCATTTCCAGGGGAGAAGCCCCCATGGGTGACACTACCTTTGAAGTCAGGGCTCTTTGGGTAGATGTGATATCTTATTAGACCAACTGGAAAAAAGTCCTTTGCAAGCTTTCGGGTGCTATCACCCTTCTTCAGGTATAGGGGGTCTGTCTTTGCCTTTCAAGGTACTCGGAGACCCGAAAAAAATCAGGAGAATGCCTGTTTGCACCTCTCCTGGGACAAGGGGACGCGACCCCGGACTGGGGCACTACAAGCAATAACTCTGTCCCAAAAGGACACTCAACTTTGATCAAGCCGGTCACCCTCAACATCCCGGACAGTGCCAAATTTGCACCAGCCTCTCCCAGCACGTCAGAACGTGTACAACGCTTCATCGGAGGCTACTGCCTCGAGGCTGGAAGGCAGCAGGACGGGACGCCTCCGGCGAGAGCTTGGGGCATGCCAACGAGCCTCTGGGAGATTCGCAGCCGAGGTGAAATCCAGAGGCCACCAGATGTCACTGCTGCCCTCCGCACGCCCCGCCAACGGGCTGAAATCAGGTCCGTGCAGCGGACCGAGCAGCTCCATCGGGCTCCTGCTTCAATCCCACCTGCTGCTTATGGCAAAAGTTTGGTGCAAAGGAAGTTTCAAGATGGAGAAAAAAAAAAAGTTAAGAGGCTGCCTCTAAAAACAAGGGGGTGGAAATCAGGAAAGGCTGGACTGTTAGACAGAGTTATGCAGCCCCCTCCCATCATCGGTGTATCGCTGAAAAACTGCCCCTTCTCTTCCAGCAGCCATGGGTGCTCCAGGAGGGTTTATGCCTAGAGACAAGCTGATGGCCAAGTGCTTAAGAGTGGCAGGTGGCCAAGGGCTAAAAAGGCAAAAAAGGGGTGGCAAAGGGCTAAAAGTCACAGGGGTGCATTTGTGCATCCCAGTAACGATAGAGCTGCAACCCGATTTAAGCTCCTGGATTCAGAAAGCTGTAGAATAAGCAAACATATGCTGAGCCGCCAGAGCTGGTAATGAGAAACCCGGCGGGTAAGGTCACTTTAAAAGAAATAAAGGTTAAAGATGAATAACTAAATCATCTATTCTCCCTTTATTTGCATAATATATTCTGACGGGTGTTATTAATACTAATCACATATTTGCTATCCTCTTTCTACTGCAGTTTAATCAGGGTGCTTTCACCTCCATTAACCCAGCAATTACGACATGCATTGATGAAGCTCTCATCTTTGAGAAAGGGTTTTCGTTCTTAGTGATATGCCACATAACTGTCCCGATCTTCTGACCGCAGAGGAACAGAGAGGAGTCTCCCACACCACCGGCAGCAAGTGGCTGAACTGGAAAAAGTAGTGTTCATTGCAAAAGTTTGGTGGCTGGTGCATGGGATGGGAAATTTCATGAGTGCCATGACTTGAGAAACAGTTTTTCTCCATAGAGAAAATGAAACCAACTGCATGCAGCGTTCTGCACGTCCCAGTCAGTAAATCCAAGTGAATTCTCCTGGAGAGCAAGCAGCTTGCTCTGTCCTCCCCAAAACTAATGCAATCAATCAGAAAAGCATGTCCATATAAGAGAGCAGGATCCCTTCAAGCACAAGGACCCAAAATCAGAAATGCCGGAAGTTGGGATAAACGGAGCTAGTTTTGCAACCGTACCACACTGGCCATACGCTCGGCGTTCATGGGTTTAACCGTCTTTCAAGTAAGGAAATCGCTGTTGATGAAGGTAGCACAGCAGGTGTATCAAGAGCATTATCTGTTTGCTTAGTTTTGTTAAAAGAGGGACTAAATTCGGAGCGAAAACACCCAAAAACCATCAAGCGAGGACCCTGAAATTGGATTTGCGTGGACTCAAGGATCCAATGCCAGGAACAGGGCCTCAAGGCAGCGCATACCAGCAAAGCTAAAGAAAGGTTGGCAGAGGAGATGCATTGCAATGCAAGCCATGAGGCATTTGCTAACTAAGCTAAGCCATTACCTTCCCCGCTATTTTAATACATTTTTTTCCTGGAGCTTTCCATGTGCTGGATGTCACATGCCTAAAATAGGGCCTGTGCATTTTTGAGAGCATGCTGCATAATCACAAAACCTGTTGCTATGAAAAGAAAAAAAGAAAATCAGACACAAAGAGATAATCAAAGGAAAATGATGAGATGTTGGGGGAGAGAAACAACAAAGTCAGGAGGATGGAGGACAATTGCAGCTTAATTTAGTGCATTGACAACCTGAATTCTTTGCTCCAAGCAACAGTGACTTAGCAGAGGAGTCGCAGCTCTAGCTTCATCCTGTACCAGCACGAAAAGTCCAGTGCCACCCGGCTTCAAAGACACCCCGAGAGCAGCATGGCAGCCCCACAGCCACCAGACCAGAGCTGTGATGCAAGGTCCAAACGGTGGCATTGCAGAGAGAAGCAGATTACAGACCATGCAAGCCCCAGTTGGTTTTTAATCACGTCTGTCACTAGGATTGTTTCACCTGGCTTCACCGTGAAGCTGGCCGCAGTGGTGATGGACTATCCTGGCCAGCCTGTGAGCTGCTCCCTGAATAACCACCTTGGAGTTGGATCAGTTTGAATGGCTGGTTTAGGACTTGGTATCATTGCGACTGCACCCATCCATACATTTCAGTTGTAAAGGCTATGTTGGAAAGTCAAAGACTTCTCAGTGGTAGGAGACCCCATTTTCCAGCCAGCCATACCCTCAAGTCTGCCTTCCAGGAAGAGTAGGACCCTTCCTCTTGTCCATGCACGCACATCACAGCCCATTAGATGTATATGCCACCGAGAAGCAAACAGAAAACGAGCGTCAGTTGTGCCCTGCTTGGTGGCTCTCAAAGGAAGCAAGTCAACAGCTCCTGTCCAGATCCTATCTTACAGCCCTAAACATGGAGAGAACGATGCTCTCTTCTTCCTATTGATGGCACTGGATGGCAAGCAGATAGCTTGGTATGCTGGAGAGCTCCTATCAATCAATCGATCAATCTTTCCCCCACCCCAGTAAAAAAAGAGTTGAAAGCCAAGTAAAAGCGAACAGCCCCATTGCAGGAGATCTGTGTAAGGGCTCCTGTGATGGATGCCAACAGGAGCAGCGTGAGCACAGGCAGCTGCAACCAGTAAAGGTCAAGAAACACGATTTGAACTGCGTGGACCGGTCTACTGCAGCTTCCACAACTTCGTGACCAACCTCAAATTATGATGGGACCTTGTTATCGCCACCCAGACCCTTTTCCCCAACTCTTTTACCATTTGTGAGGACTCTCGTGGAAGTTGCTAGCCCCCCGGAGCAGAAATCTGCCATCTACCTAATAAACTTCACGTTATGAAAAATCATGCAAGCAACAGTACAGGCTTTGAGGCCGTTTGGCACAGACAAATCTTCAACACGGAAAGGCCGTTGCCCCTTCGTCAGCGCGAGAAGGAAACGAAGGCAGAACACGTCGGAGTCTGTGAACCGAAGACGGGGATGAAGCAGAAAAGACGCCCGTTCGTGGTCTCTGCAGCAGCGTTGTACCTCGACAGAGTCAAGCAAGCGACGTATTTCTGAAATCGAGATGCATTTGCCTCCAAGTTGGCAACGATAAAAAGCCTCGTCCCGCTAGTTCCTGTGCCCACCCCTGCTGAGTACCATCAGCAGCTTTTCTGTGCGCTACCCAAGAGTCTTTTTATACCTCAATAAAGGCAACCGGGATACATTTCAGAGGCTTGCTGCCAAGAGGGAGCCATCACGACCTTGCCGGCGCACACGCGCAACTTCGGCGGTTTCAAAAATATTGGTGACCTTCAGCCAAGCGCCTGATTTTGTCCCGCTGCAATTGCTCTGAGTCACTCCAATCTGCACCCTGCGTGGGCCCCTTAATTGAGATGTGTCAGT